AATCTTCCAACGTTGAATGAAAAAGAAACCTGATCACTTGTCTACGGCTGTTGCAATTCTTTCGATTAGGTTATCTTGGACCAAGAACGTTGAAACATTACGTGCGCAGAACGTTTTAATGCGGTTAAATGACAAAGGCCTCCAGTATGGGGTCTCCGCATGGGAGGAGAAAAACTGCGGTTGACGATCCGAACGAATATGAAGGTGAAATTAATTGGGGTACCTGAATTGGATGACCGGGGAATGATACAAGTGGAAGCGGTTAGGAGGAAAATATTCTGCCGTTTCAGTATCCAGTTCGGGTAAAGTTGAGTAGCCGTGAGTTATCTTTTTACATTGGTTGTGGTAATTAGCTGAGGAAAACACGTTTTAAGCATCTACCTACCTGACGTCGTGCCTCATTATATGAAATACGTCTTTAATCGCTCGATGCAAAGACGAAAACGAGAATCGGGATTCAGTGTAATGGGACTGAACCACTTCAGCTTCAGTTTTCTGTGGATATTAACGGTAAGTGAAACTTTGAAGACCGATTCCATTGAAAATCATAAGTGATTGTCATTTTACCATTACTTATCCCCGGGCAGGAGTTTTGTTCTATTTGGGATCCACCAAGCGGATCCAAAGAGTTTTCACCTTGGCATCACCTTCTTGCGAGCCGTATATCTATAAGTCGACCATTCCCTTCCGATCTCCTGCTTCTAGGTCTGTGATTGACTTGCATTGAACTAGAGCGCACTGGTTCCCTGCCAGAAACTGTCCAGGTTATTACGGATTTGCCTTTCCCAAAGGCGCTACACCGATGTCTAACCAGAAACCGAGAGCAACGCCGACTGACGCTTCACAATGCCTGTCTTTAGTCTAACCCACTTCCACACCCACCCAAACGATTGCGGCAAAGGCAGGCAAGCTTGGGTACTCTGAGGAGAGATACAAAGTATTCAGGAAATCTGAGGATCAGTGGGTTGTGTCGAGAGGTGTCGGGGATCTACGTGGCCTATCTGTTAAGGGCTACAAGGATTTGTTTGTATAATATTGGTACCGCCGGGCCCGTACCGGTAGAAAATACGTCACTGGACAGTTTCCGGCTATAACGGCGCTGGCGTCGGTCGAATCATTGTTTTAACCGAATCCTACTATCAATGGGATAAGAAAGCCAGGTGTTCGTTAACCCGATGACTACCAACGTCCAACACAGTCGCTTCTCCCGCATCCTAACCGTCTCCAAATCCCCGTGTTTCCCATGACTTCCTTCATTGCACCATTTCGAATATCCCTGACATTATAGAGTAGTCCATGGCAAGGCGAACGGCGGTCTTTGTAGCTGATAGAAATAGGACGAGATAGCGTGTGCGAGTGATTTTTGAAGCTTTTCTGACCTCCAAGTCTCGTTGGGTCAGACCTGCCCTAAGAATACGCGTCTATTTTCGTTTACAAAGCGGCCTGTCGTCAACGTCTCCGTCAGCTTTTCTCTTCCTCCCAGAGCACCCATCACCATCACTTCCATCAATGGCGTCTACATCCATCGAGTCCATTTCCGTTTCAGCCGCTAACTGTCCTTCATGGAAACCTGGTCCATCTTCAAGCCCTGCATGTATTGAATCAATGGTAGGTGGTAAACTGTGATTGCTGTATCCACCATTCTCTGTTCCCTGGTCAACCTGCATCTCAATATCGTCTTGAGTTGGTGGTACAGTGTAAACAGGTACTTTGTCTCGAGTTGGAATACGTGGTGACCCGTCCGGTGCTGGTTTAGTTAGGGAAAGGGTTTCGAGGTGAGATTCGGCCCATTTAATCTTCTCTTTCGTGGAAGGTGGAGAAGCGGGGATTCTGAGCATTCGGTTGAATTCGCTGTAGTAGGGTTCGACATTCGAGTAGGACTCTGGTTGGGCACCGTTGTGGTTGTGGTTCATGTTTGTGTTCCAGCGCTTAGGAGCGTTTAAAAAAAGGTTCAACCCCAGATTTCGGCCCTGTCTTACCGTGACACGCCGCATGACCGCGAATAGGAATCACTAGGCGCGCCGCAATACTGAAGTGAATCTCAATGAGGCGGGGATGTGCGAGAGTTCGATTTTTTTTTTCTCTCGTGAATCTCCTTGATTAGATAGAATGTGGATCTGCGCCAGTAACGCCCACTACCCATGGTTCTATATTGGAGACATAACTTATCGGCGGGCTAGCGTGTTGCATCGTAATATCGCTATCGCAAGAGCTATGCACGACAAATTACAAAGTAACACCGGGACGGAAAACATCCTCATGTCCGACCTCCGTTACTCACTCTCAAGCATAACCATCCTTTCCTCCAACAACGCCATACGCTGGTCCGCCCTTCCCGAACATTTTCCTCAAGTCCCCGACCAGCAGCTCCGGCACCTCATACGCAGCGAAATGACCACCCTTCTTGTGTTGCGATTGGAATCGAACGTCTCGGTCAGTAAGCCAGCTAGTGAACGTCGTCAAATGTTAGGTAAATGTATGAGCCGCTGATTGTGAAGGGAGACAATGAAATACGCACGAGACTGGCACGGCGATACGTTCCTTTGGGAAGTACGATATACCGTAAGGGATGGTCGTCTTTGGGCTCTCAGCGTTTCCCAATAACTGGCCTCCTTGTATTACCTCGTAGTATATCCGGAGGTTGGCTGCCAGCCCAGAGCGAGAAAACCAGTATATTGAAATCCATGTCAGGACTGCCAACAAAGGTCGATATTTTTTTTTGAGTGGGGGGTGAATAGGTACTAAGGCCGTGGAAAAAGACATACCTTCATCGTCATTCCAAGGATAATCATCACTAGCGGTCACTAGTTTCTCGTAAATCCATGCGAGGAGACCTACAGGAGAATCACTCAAACTGTATCCGAGGGTTTGCGGCTGTGTCGATTGTTCGATGAGGTAGCCGCTTCCTTTAGTAGTGTACTGCTTCATCCTCTCGTGTCTTTTCAGATCCTCTGGTGTGTAGCTGGAGAGATCCACACCGGGCGGTGGTTCAAACTGAGCGCCGACAGCCATGTTAGAATGATAGGCTTTAATGTATCTGGGACCGTACAAGGAGGCATGGACATGGTTTATCTAGGATATGAAAAAAAGAGTGTCCATGGTAAGAGTAACACACCAAGCAGAGTAAAGAGGTCTTACAATGGCTCCCCAGTCCCCTCCTTGTGCGGCTGGACAAACGATGAAAAATCGGGACCAAAAAAGCAAAAACGAAGGTGTACTTACCGTACTCGGTATATCCCAAAGCAAGCATTAGCTTATGCCCGACTTCCGCGTACTCATTCAACGCAAATCCTTTCTTCTTCGTTCCCTCCGAAAACCCGTAGCCTGGCAGTCCTAAAGCGACAACATGGAAACTCGGCTGACCATCTTCAAGAGCAGTGAGAAGGGGTAGAATCTTCCTGACTTCAATAAAGCTTCCTGGCCCTGTGTTTCGCAAAACTGAGTTATCTACCGATCCGAAAAAGATAGCGAACCACACTCGTGCTTACATCCGTGAACAAAGAGCAAAGGAATAGCGCTCTTCGCTTTGCTCTCTTTGTGGACGTAGTGGATGTTCAAAGTTCCATGTCCGTCAACGTCGATATCGCGCGTAAACTGCGGCAGCTCGTCGTTGAGAGATTTCTCGTGTTTTCTCCAATCATAACCATCCTTCCATCTCGCAACTAGCCGTCTGATATCGGATAGAGGGGCTCCGTAGTCCCATCCTGCCTCGTCTAGTTCGTCTGGAAGGCGCGTTAATTCGAGTTTCTTCCTGAGCTGCTCCAAGGATTCATCCGGGATGTTGATCTTGAATTCTGACATGGGTGAAGCGTGAAAAAGGGCAGGAAACGGTCTCACGAGGTCTCACGTAAAACATATACTCAAGCTGTAGAGGTATGGGGTTCCCAGGACTCATAATCAGCACACAGGCGCCTTTAGTCACTTAGTGAGATCGAGTTGAGGCGTTTACTGTGAGGATGTGTTGATTTCGACCGAAGACAATCCGAGTAAGAATATGTCCAAGCAGGATCCAAGCGCAATGCGCCCACAAAGTGCAGCTGTCGGTATTGCTGAGACTACGGGGTCGGAGTAAGGTCAAGGAAAAAATTCAAACACTTGAGGAGCGGAATTCCGAGGAATTTGCCGGGCATTACGCAACAGTGACAAACAAACTGCGTGACGCGTGGCGGCAGACGGCGGCCCGCAGATCCTGCCACTGCGGCCAGTATCTTCTGTAGTTTTGGACTCTCATGTCCCAGACCTATACAGCTAATTTGGTCGGCTCCGATTGAGGGAAAATAGTCATGCTAAAGCATATACTTAAACAGAGCGACGTAAACACGATACTAATAAAAAAGCGGGAGGACCACTAGTATAACGGGTCTCGCCGGTACCTACTGCAGAAGGCGGGGGTGAATAGGACATAGCAGACTATTGTACATATTCAATAACTCCAGATCATGACTAGTATATAGTTGATTGAATCAATAGATTACAGTACTTGAACGAAGGAAACCAAATCTGTAACAATAATATATAGGGTAGCCATTACTCAATATTCAATAGCCAAGCCGAATCGTGAGTTGAACGAGATAACGAATGGTCATACATCTCTGACATGGAACGTGCGTTCCTTTTCGCACTTGTTTGATTAGTCGAGCCAACTCCATTATCTTGATAGCTTCTTTGAAGTCTCCATCTAGCTCATTCTTATTCTTTCCGCTTCTTCAAGGCCCAGTCAAGTCTTCACACGTTTCCTCATAATGCTGTGGTGTTTCTGACCTGTAGTGTGCACAATCATTCCTTCCGGATCTTCCTTTCGGTTCCTATGTTGAAAGGTATAATGATTCGATCCGAAAGGCTGAGTCTCAATTTTGTACAACAATAACAAGCTCTAGTTCTTCCCCTGGAAAGTCATGGTCCACCGCTGACTTCTGTGACCGTGAGACTCGGACGGCGGGCCGATCATGGATTGATACTCCAGAAAAAACTTGCACCTCGGTTCAAAATATCAAAATAGTTGACCCCTACCCGGATTGAACGGATGACCTTCTGGAAACACGATCTGGAATCAGACGCTCTACCGCTGAGCTAAGGGATCACTGCCGAAATTATTTTTTTTAGTATGATATGAGCAGAAGACGAATCGGCGGTGTCGCCACGCGACCTATCACGTAAATAACTTTTTGTCCTCGTTACTTCCGCTTCTTACATACAGCACCCCATCATCCATCATCGACGACCACTACGACGGGCTTAGGGCCCTTTTAGAACGACTCAGCTAACGACGATACCAACACTTCCCTCTTTCTAGCCCTCAAAGCTCTGGCCTTGCTGCAGCGCGTCTTCGCCAACAAACATTTGTCAAAAACGTTGCCAAGGGCCGTCACTTCATTGGATGGAGCTGCTTTCCTCCCTTTAAGAGAACGAGAACACGCGAAAATGTTGCTTAGACTTTTGCGATTGCTCGGTTGTTGCTGCTTGGGCCGGAGAAAGGACAGTGGAAAGGATAAGGTGCGTGAATAAGTAGTCTCCGCTTCGTCTACAAGTAACGTTCGTTTCTTTCAGTTACCGGACGAGGAATCGCGACTTTTGCCCGAATCTATCCCCCATGACGCTCTCGAGTCCTCGGTCGTTATTACAGTTGAGAATGGTCAGCCTGAGGGACAACATGACGCCGAGATAATCAAAGAACGGATGCGAGAACGTTTCAATGGAATCGTTAGAGCTAAAGAAGGGTCAGTCGAACTGTCCGTTTGCTATTCTTCTTCCAAGGACTCCATTTCCAATGTTTTCTCGCTTCCATATCACTCCTTTCCTGGGACGCTAACAACTACTTCAGGAAAATGGTCAACGTATCTTCTTACGTGCCTTTCAACCTTCAATCCGGATCCCGTGCATCTTCATCCATGTCCCGTTCAATGTCCCATCCCAGAAACCCTCATGCCAACGTCATCTCACCTATATCGGCTGTCCTACCCGCTCAGTCCGACGTTATCGTACAAGCTGACGCAGGTGGGAGATCCTCGTCTCAGGTTCCTCCTCTTCGACACGGTCAGCCGGATTTAACGCACCTACACACCAATCTACACTCAAATGCTGTTCATACTTTTTCATCCAACGGTCGAACCAACTCCAACTCTGACATGTCTGCAATCTACGCAACCAGGAGGCCTTCGTTGGACGCTTTCGAGAGTGACATGCATTCGTCGTCACCGTCACGGCCTCATGGCCTCAATGCCAGGCTAGTTGGCGTCGGAGGAGTGGGAGGGCATATTGGAGCAAGGAGAGGAAGACCCCGGACGAAATTAGGCGGATGTGGTGGCAGTACCTCTAGTTTGAGCTTGGGTGGGACCAGCGGTGAGGGACATGTGAGTGTTTCCTTCCTTTGTTTCTTCTATCTTTCTCGTCCTGCTTTTTTGATATACTGTGTGCTTATCAAGATCATAGAGCCCCAGGTTACTGCCTACCCTGCCTCCTCAAACACCCTCATCGTCGCCGGTAGAAGAAATCCACATTCCACGCTCTAAACTTGGTTACACGGTACCTAGATCAACCTCAAAGGATAGTTTCCAACAACAGACAAAAACAAAAAGCGAAGGGCAGTTACCGAACTTTGCTATCATCAATACCGGGAAGATAACGATAGGATGGGACGACTAACCCCACTGGGCTCCTTCACCGCCTCGTTTATGGATGGCCCATCAGACATCATTCTTGGTACTACCCTCTGTTCCTATCTGCCTATTCATCGAAGAGGGAATAGTATTCCTGCTTCCCGAGCCTTTTTCCAGGGCGTTTCCGAGTTTTCCCGGGCGAGGAAACATATCTTTGCCAGCTGGTCGACCGAATACTGGTCTATTCCTATGATGCCCTCCTCTTGCAAGCCTTGTCATCACATTTTGCTGTATTTTTTTTTTGCAATCATTTGCTCTGAACTTTTACATCTTTTTCCTTGTATGACACCACTCATCGCTTTCTTGCTCCTATCGAAAATGGAACACTGACAGTATCACGAATCTCTCACACACTCTCCTTCGCTTTCTATATACGTACTGGACCATGGTCAGGGGATATATCATAAACACATCCTATTTCGTTCAACGCTTAGCTATCGAGTACCGGTTACCCTAATCTATTGTTGTTACAGATTTGGTTCTCTATGTTCAAGTACTATAATCTTTCATGTATTCAATCAATCTTGGTCATGATCTGGGGTCATTGTATTTAATGTACTTACACTTACAATAGCCCTCCCGCGTTCGTTTTTCTCAGATAGTTGTTTTACTGCGTGTATCTTGGTTTGAAGACTGTAAACCACTGCTTCTTTTGATCTACTCTTTTTTTCTTTTGAAGCTCGCTAGCCTTTGTTGCATAGGCTTGGGACTTGGAGCTTGAAGGACAAGACTGGGATTTGGATTATCTGCAAAAATTTCTGTAGGGCCCTCCAGTGGCGGGATACCAAGCAGGCTGTGGTGAGTGACAGCGAAGGCCTCTGGCAGGCGACGCCGCCCCGCTTCTTCGCGTCCCCTCAAATCCCTGAATTCATGGATTGAACGTTGCTTGCTCATTACCACGATACGCCAAAGCGAATATCCTACTGGACGGATCCTGGTGTTTATGTTCCCGGTTTGTAATTCAACATTTGTCGGTGGAGACTTGTATCGAATGAATTTTATGTAATTCACCCAAATTGCGGACTCGAGTGCGTGTCAGTGGCAACTTCTCTCGATGGATCGCCCTGAGATTACAAGGCTCGGAATCTCACATGTCTACACCACATGCTGAGCCTTACCTTTTTTCTGCGCTCTTCCGTCTTCACCCATGTCAGAATTCCGAATCAACATCGCTGATGAATCTTTGGAGCATCTCAAGAGGAAAATCGAATTAACGCGCCTTCCAGACGAGCTAGACGAGGCAGGATGGGACTACGGAGCCCCTCTATCCGATATCAGACGGCTAGTTGCGAGATGGAAGGATGGTTATGATTGGAGAAAACACGAGAAATCTCTCAACGACGAGCTGCCGCAGTTTACGCGCGATATCGACGTTGACGGACATGGAACTTTGAACATCCACTACGTCCACAAAGAGAGCAAAGCGAAGAGCGCTATTCCTTTGCTCTTTGTTCACGGATGTAAGCACGAGTGTGGTTCGCTATCTTTTTCGGATCGGTAGATAACTCAGTTTTGCGAAACACAGGGCCAGGAAGCTTTATTGAAGTCAGGAAGATTCTACCCCTTCTCACTGCTCTTGAAGATGGTCAGCCGAGTTTCCATGTTGTCGCTTTAGGACTGCCAGGCTACGGGTTTTCGGAGGGAACGAAGAAGAAAGGATTTGCGTTGAATGAGTACGCGGAAGTCGGGCATAAGCTAATGCTTGCTTTGGGATATACCGAGTACGGTAGGTACACCTTTGTTTTGCTTTTTTGGTCTTGATTCTTCTTCATTTATCTAGTCGCACACGGAGGCGACTGGGGAGCCCTTGTAAGACCTCTCTATAGCTACCTTGTTTGGTGTGTTACTCTTACCGTGGACACTCTTTTTCTAAATCCCAGATAAACCATGTCCATGCCTCCTTGTACGGTCCCAAATACGTCAAGCACTCCAACACTCCTTTCGGCAGCCAGTTCGAACAGCCCCCTGGTGTGGACCCCTCTAGCTACGCGCCAGAGGATTTAGCGAGGCTCGAGAGGACCAAGCAGTTCAATGCCAAGGGGAACGGCTACCTCATCGAACAATCGACACAACCCCAAACTATCGGATACAGTTTGAGTGATTCGCCTGTAGGACTTCTCGCATGGATTTATGAAAAACTGGTGGCCTGGACTGATGACTACGCTTGGGATGACGACGAGGGTATGTCTTTTTTCGACCACCTCACGTGTTCCCCCGTGGTCAACAAAACATGATTTGTTCGTTTGCAGTCCTGACCTGGATTTCGATATACTGGTTCTCTCGTTCTGGGCCGGCGGCTAGTGTTCGCACTTACTATGAAGTGATACAAGGTGGTCACTTGTCGGGAAACAACGAGGCGCCGAAGACGGCTATCCCTTATGGTGTGTCATACTTCCCCAAGGAAATTATGGCTGTTCCAGTCTCGTGAGCATTTCTTCAGACGCTCCGAGTCACGCGTTCACGCCAAACAATTGACAGATGGTTCAATGACCGAGATGTCCGATTCCAGTCGTACCACGAGAAAGGTGGTCATTTCGCTGCATACGAGGTACCAGAGCTGCTGGCCGGGGACTTGAGGAAAATGTTTGGGAAGGGCGGGCCAGCATATGGTGTTGTTGGAGGGAAGGATGGATATGCTTGAGAGAACTTCTCTGCCGAGAGGTGTCCTGTTATTACGCTTCTGCCTCGTGTACTACCACTATCATGATGTTATGATTCAACTCGCAAGCTCGGTGAAATATATATATATATATATATGTTGCGACTCCGTATTTGCGGGTGAGCATTGGTCATACAAGTTACATGTAATGAAATACACAAGAGAAAGTCAAACAACGTCTCTGTGAGCACAACCCCTCACCTTGCACTGGCTTCAAGGATAACCATCCTTCCCTTCAACAACCCCGTATGCCGGCCCACCTTTGGTAAACATCTTTCTCAAGTCTTCAGCCAATAACTCTGGCACCTCGTATGCAGCAAAATGCCCGCCTTTATCGTGGCGCGATTGGAAGCAAACGTTTCGGTCGGTCACCTATGATAGGGTGAACACGTCACTACTAAGTATTTGCTCGAATCAAAAAAAAAGATTTTAGAGCGCTCACGAAACTGGTGCGGCGAGTATCTCCTTTGGGAAGTAGGAGACGCCGTAAGGAATAGTTGTCTTTGGAGACTCAGTAGCTCCTCCAAATTGACCACCTTGTACCACTTCGTAATAAGTGCGAACGGTAGCTGCTGGCCCACAGCGAGAGAACCAATAAATTGAGACCCATGTGAGGACTGCGAAAGAACAGAGTACGTGTTCAGTCTTCGGTCGCTTTCGAAAACCGATCGAGAACAGCAAACCTTCATCGTCGTCCCAAGGATAATTATCCGTCCAAATTATCAGGAATTGATATACCCACACGAGAAGTCCTACAGGTGAATC